TTCGTTAGACAGTTTTTGTGTTAGTTACTTTTTCCTTGTTGCTGGGACAAAATACCAGAAACGCAAAATTAAAAGATGAAAGGTTTATTTAGTTCATGGTTCGTGGAGGTTTCAGTCCATAATCAGCTGGCTTCAAGACAGGGTGGCTTGGTAGAGGGGCAACTGTTCATGGCAGTGGAAGGCAGCAAAAGCAATAAGAGCAAAAGGGGAGTGAGCCTCTTTTCCACCCTTTGTATTGTATGCAGGCTGCCCACCCCAGGCAGTATTGCACTTATACCCCACAACCCCAGCACTAGAAAATGAACCAATCACAAACTCTAGGTTGAGGCACCTCCAAAAAGCCCTCCCCTCGTGACCACATGAGGTTTCGGGAGACATCAGACACAAACCATAAGTTTTGAAAGCTGAAAGTCCAAATGGAATAGCACTGGCCTAGTGGCGACCCTGGGCTGTGTCACTCATGATGCGGAGAGCTGTGGCAGGAATGCATGACAGGAGCAAGCTCGTGATTGCATCTCTGATCAGGAACAGAGACCGAGAGAGGGCCTAGGCTCCCACAGTCCCCTTAAAAGGGCACACTCCCAATGACCTTAGGACCTTGCACTACGCCCTGCCTCGCAAAGGTCCACAGCACCTCTCCGTACCACTACCCTGGAGACCAAGCATTTTCACAGGTATCTTTAGGGGCAACGCAGCATCAAGACCAAAGGAGGGTAACACAAGCACAGGTTTGCCGATGTGCACATCAGAACAGAGTGTTGAAATCAGGCATATTCCAGAAAATGGTGTGAGGAGATAATGGTGAGAAAGAAGGGGAGCTATGTAGTAAGCAATTTCTTAACTAAAGACTTAGAAGTTGATCCATTGTAGCTGAAAATTTTGTACATGAGGGGAAATGCAGAATTTATATAATTTTGGAAATGGAAGATTTTTTTTTCACTTTTCTTTAAATTGCAGCACGTGGGTGTGCTTTCCAGCACCTCATCCACACCCATGAGGAAAATAACCCACCCAACACAGACATGCCAAATATGAGGTGTTGTGAGAAGTCACTCAATTTAAACCCAGCCTTTTCTTTCATTGCTTGTTTTAGGAAAAGTGGCTCCACACCTCCTCAGCGTTATTTTTAGTTCACAATTACAGTGGGTGGAAAGAACACAGCATGTTAAGATGTCCCAAAATAACTGAATCTCCATTTAATGATTACCTGAAAATCCTGTTCATAACATCAGAGTGACAGTGACCATGACAAGCAGGGTTTCACGGGAACAGAAGAGTTCAGAGTGACTTATGCAGGTGTTCCTCCCTACAACTTGCCGTGTGCTCCTTGGCACAGGGATTCTTACAAGCAAAACAATAATAAAACCAAGCCCTAACTAGTCACTCATGAAGCAGTGTTAACCGCTAGCATTCTCTTCACCATGCTGCTGCTGATGTTTTGTTAACAATTTCAGTTTTGTGTTCTTTTTTATTTGACAAAGACTGTTCTGGCACAAAATTTTAGTTACACTTCTCTGAGTCCTCTCTTTGACTAGGCCCGGCTTTGGGATTCTCTCTGTCTCTCTTCTGGTAGAATACAGTTTCAGCAAGAGCCCAGTTAAATACATTTGTTGGTGATCCCCACTCTTGATATCTGATCTTTGATTTTTATCACCCTCACCTTGTTCTGTAATAATCCTCCAAGTCAGTTTAGCCAGCAAACTCTTATCCGTGATGTTTCCTCTTAGTAATCTTTCATCTTCTGCCCCTATCCTACCTTGGTTATAAATCTCGGCCTGTCCCTATTGGAATTAAAGTCCAATTTCTCTCCTCCGCCACAAGACCCAGTGCAGTATCCCTATATCTATTACTATGGCCTCCACCTTTGAGGAAAGTTTGCCTTGCCATCTTTAACAAGTGTCACGAGTAACTTTTAGTTTTTCTTTAACATGTGCATTTGTCAGTTTATTAAGTATAGAACATCACTGTACATATTTTTCTGTAAGTTTTTTGGATGTTTGCTTCTTTCTCTATCGCCTAATTGGTCAATGCCCTCATAATTACTAAATATAGGAGACAATTCCCAGTCCTTTTTAAACACTGACATTGTAAACACCTCCATCTGTGGCTGCTGGTTCACTCCCAGTCCTCTCATACTTTTTTTTTTTTGTCTTTTTGAAACAGGGTCTCGTTATGCAGTTCAGGCTGGCCATGAGGTTACTTTGTAGTGCAGGCTGGCCTCAAACTCGCAACAATCCTCTTGCCTCAGCCTCCAGAGTGCTGGGGTTACAGTTGTGTGCCACCATGCCTGGCTCATACTTTTTCTTTATTGCTTTCTTTTGTTCTTTTTCTTCATTTTCTCCTGATCTCTTACTGCAGTTATTTTCTCAGATTTATCTACAGATAAATATTCACTTTCTCCTCATTCATTTGATTTGCTCTCATGGCTTTTCCTGACTTACAGAACCAGCCCATGCGTTCCACACCAGTCCACGGATCAGAATCAACCAGGATGCTGAAGAAGTACAGCTTCACAGGTGTCACTGAAGCTGAAACTTCGGGGACTCAGAATTTTAACATAATTTTAAGGAGATGATCCTACTTATGGACCTTCCCAGGATTCTGAGAAGCAGAGAGTGTAGGTGTTAGTTATTCTATAAGATACTGATAATATTTACATCCACTTCTTTTGTCAATACAGGTGGTTTCCTGAAGTCTACTCCCATCATTCTAACAGACTGCTTGTCACTGCGTTAGCTATTCAACCCTTAATCAGCTCATCTCAATCTATGTATGCTCCCTATATTTCTTATTTGATTAATGATACTAGTTATAAACACCACCCAAGCCAGACATCTCAGTTACCTGTAGCTTTCTCACCCCTACATCTAATTGATGACATAATCCTGCTAACCAGGTTTCTGAATATACCTAGGTTTTCACCTAATGCACTGTGACCATTTACTCTGCACCTCCTCCCCTTGCTTAAAATACCCCAACAGTTTTAGATTTGACTATCATTTTATTCCTCTTATCTCTAATGTGTCCTTTACATTTCCATATCAGTGTCACCCTACAGTAACACTGGTACAACTCTCTGTGATAATGGAAATGCTCTATAACCGCACTTATCCAATATGGTAGCACCTACTTCCTGTGTCTATTGAGAGCTAGAAATGTGGCTAGAGTGGCCAAATAATTGAATTTTAAATGTAAGTAAATCCAAACATATACAGCCACTCAGATCTAGATGCTATCACAGTAGACAGTCTGCTTCTAAAATGTGGGTTTTGTCATATCCTATCCTACTGCTTTCAAAACTTCAGCACCTACACGAAAAGGTTTGGTGTGTAGTATGACTTACAAGACCTTCCTACCTCGGGCTCCCTTTCCTTTTCTACCACAATTACCTTCACCCCTTTCCACACGTACTCTACTGCCGTACAAACTAGCTTTTCCTGAAGAAGCCATAATTTTAAGATCTCGCTTTTCGATCTTGTTCTTTGCTCTACAGAATGCCCATCCCTTATGTTCTTCCTTTTAAAATGGTACCCAGTTTTCAGCGGCTCATTAAAAAGCCTTGATCCACTGTTTCAGAGGGACGATTCCCTTAGCCACCTTGGACAAGCCGCTTAGCATCTCTCAGCACGGTTTTCGCATCTGAAACATGGGAATGATACCATCTCCTCCCTTACTGGGTCGTTGGAAATTAAATATTACACTTTTTCAGACTCCATCACGGAGAAAGTGCACCATAAAACAGCTGATATGATTTGCTGCCTCCCTGTAACGCATATGTGGAACTACAGGTCTTCCAGATGGGAAACACTCTCTTTGCTCAAGACTGTGACTTTTTTTGGCAGTAAAGCCTCAGTCTTTTGTATTATCCCCCAGTAGTCAACGCTGCAGTCATCTGACAAATGCTTTGGCTGGGTGGTAAATAAATGAATGAGCCAATTACTTATATAGGATGACACAAAATAAATGTTTTAAGTATGCCCTTGGTTGTGTGTATCTTCAGGGAGGAGAAAAAAAAGGACAAAGTTATAGCAAGATTAGGAAGCAAGACACCAACCACTTTCTTTTCGAGTATTAAATCTTTGTTACTGCCCAGGACATCTGGCCTAAGTCTGCCCCTAAGTCTATGCCCCTTCCTCTCACTTGCCGGGAGAGTGAGCTCTCACATTTTGCCGTTTTGACTTTCCGTCCCCGCCCCGAGGCTCCCTCTTTCCTCTCCGTGGGGACTAAGCTTTCATCACTGTCGCCAAGGCAACAGCAGGGATGCCTCATTCTTCACAGTTCTGCATGTCTAAACTCTAGTCGCCTTTGTCCAGAGAGCTGGCTGAATTCTTTACATGCATACTACCAAATCAGCTATCTTCGACACAGAACTGTATGCATTATTCTACCATTTTAAAAAGCTAATGCATAACAATTTCTTTCCTGAGGACGGGCTCTATCCAAATCTTTCGATCCTCTTGATTGTACCAGACATTTTTGGTCCCCAGGAGCAAATGCAAAAATCCCCTGCTTAGCCTTTTTAAGTGCGTGCAAGTTAAGCGCGGGTCAATTTTAAAGCAAGCAACAGAGCATTCATAACGCGTTTCTTTTTTAAAAGCACCGTGGACCAAAAATAAACCCGACAAAGGGCAGCTGTGGAGTTTTAACATGTGGAAAACTCCACAGGCAGCAGTTATATAACGGGAAAGAAACACCATGAATATTTCACACCGTTAGAGGAACTTCCAACTCCTGACACACCAAAAAGCGAAGTACACAAAACACACCTTAGTCCTCCAGGGAGCACAAAGGTTATACTGAGACCAGGCCAAGGCTGGAGAGAAAAACCTGAGACCTGACTTCCAGCACCAGACAGGATCGCTTTTCTTTTCTTTTAATTTCCCCTCTCGCATCCGAGGCGGAGCTCACCAACTGCAGTGCCTCGAAGCGTTTCCCTCGAGGTTTTGCTCCCCTGGGTAGAAAACTGCCAAAACCCCAGGGCCAGGGTGAAAATTGGGGTGGGGGGTAGTTCTGTGCCTAAGAGAAGAAGAAGGCAGGCGGAGTTCCCAGCGCTCCCTCCCACGCGCACCGCTGCTGACCGGGGACAGCTGGCGGCCGGCCGGACAAAGCGGATCAGCGCGGCGCGGGGGGCGCGCCAGGCCGTCCCCGTCCCCGTCCCCTCCGCGCGCCTCGGCCCCCCTGCTTAGGACCCGGCGGACACCGCGTCCCGCCCACGCCTCCCCTCTAACCCACCCAGCCTTTGAA